CAAGATATTACAGATAATCATGTCAGAATATACCNGACATCGTAATTTTTGCTGGACATTGCGACAAAAGTTGAAAAAAGGTCAACATTTGCAAAACAAAGCGTTACGAAAACAAAGTCAAATCGAATACAATTTCAACGAAATAATAAAAACCATGGGTGGGAAATGTCAATACCCCTTAGAGAAATGGTCCGTGATCAAAGCAGTTGCGGTACCTGTTGGTGCAGGAGGGTGGGACATTTGCCCCCTAGAAAATGCACCCCCACTTCAATTCTAACGAACTAAGAACAATGTTTTTTTTTTTACCCACAAATTTGTGTCAAAAGGAACAGATAATTTTTTCTGCAATTTTCTGATGGAGAAATCTTTCCGATACTCATTCGGATGCTATTGTTTTTGCGCTTACAAATATTTAATATATTTTAATCAATTAATGTTAATAATTTTTTCAGCGAAAGATTGTGGACTTCCTCCACCAGGTATTACATCAACGGGGTTTGCTAATGGCGATAACACTGCCACCTACACTTGTGATGAGGGCCACATACCATTAAGCGGTAAGGCTGAGATCTCGTGTCTGGCATCAGGACTGTGGGAAACCGATATACTAATTTGTCAACGTAAGTTTTTCGGTACTGTCAATTCCTATTTCAGGTCTCCCTCATTACAAACTGCTTGGCGTTGTCTGTCTTTATTCACCAATTAGGTTCAAAATACTTGGACGTCTAAAAACTATACATTTCTAGTAGCTTCGCGCATAGGACATTGACTTTACGAGAAATGCTAATTCAACATATTTTTTTCAGCGAAAGATTGTGGACCTCTCCCCCTAGGTACTTTATCAACGGGGTTTGCTAAAGGTGGTACCAAGTTTCCTAACACTGCCACCTACACTTGTGATGAGGGACACACACCATTAAGTGGTAATACTGAGATCTTTTGTCTGGCCTCAGGACAGTGGCTAACCAATGTACTAATTTGTCAACGTAAGTTTTTCGGTACTGTTAGATTCAATTCCTATTTCAGTTCTTCATCAAAATTTCCCTCATTACAAACTGTATGGCGTTGATCGTCATCACTCACCAATAAGGTTTAAAAAAAAAGTTGTACGTGGAAAAAACTATTCATTTCTAGTAGCTCCGCGCATAGGACATTGGCTTTACCAGAAATGCTAATTATTTTTTCAGCGAAAGATTGTGGACTTCCTCCACCAGGGATTTTATCAACGGGGTTCGCTAAAGGTGGTACCACGTTTCCTAACACTGCCTCCTACACTTGTTATGTGGGCCACACACCATTTAGTGGTAAAGCTGAAATCTCGTGTCTGGCATCAGGATTGTGGGAAATCGATATACTAATTTGTAAACGTAAGTTTCTCGGTACTGTTAGATTAAATTCCTACTTCAGGTCTTCATCAAAATTTCCCTCATTACAAACTGCATGACGTTGTCCGTCTCTTAATTCACCAATTAGGTCCAAAAAAGTTGGACGTCTAAAAACTATTCATTTCTAGTGGCTCCAAGGATGAGACATTTACCAGAAATGCTAATTATTTTTTTCAGCGAAAGATTGTGGACTTCCTCCACCAGGTGTTTTATCAACGGGGTTTGCTAATGGTGGTACCACGTTTCCTTACACTGCCACCTACGCTTGTGATGAGGGACACACACCATTAAGTGGTAAGGCTGAGATCTCGTGTCTTGCATCAGGATTGT